CTATTTAATCACCAAATAGAAATGTGTCAACAACAAAACAATTAAATACATAATTCAATTAGTGCTTTGGTATTTTCTCTCCACATCAAATTTAAATAAAAATAGTAGAGAATATAAAGAAGTTATATATTACCTTATCATAAATGAATATATCATCGAGAAAAGCCAAATCGGTGGATAGATCATATGCAGCTTCAAACTCACATCTGCGTATAAATTACATTAATTAATAACCAGATAAACACCAATAAAAAAATAAGTCCCAGAAAACCCACATAATAATTGATATTATTGTGCTAAAAGCGTAAGGATATTACATTATGGAGGATCAAACCTGCTTGACATAAAGCATGGCAAAATCAGTAATTAAAAAGATTTTTTTTTTTTTTGAAAAGAAAACTCACCCAAGTCCTTTTTTGATTGGTAAAATGAGAGGTCAACTATCATATCAATTGTTCTATTTAGGAACAAAAAAGAAAAAGAAACATTAAATCATTAGAACCATGTTTTTTTGAACAAAAAATACCTTAAATGTTGATTTAGCCATTTAGGTGACTATATGTAGGCGCCCTGCTGAAACTCCAATTTGGCATTGTATTTTTTCTACATGTAATAAAGCAATCAAACGCAAACAGCCCAAAACTACCGCATCAATTATTGAAGAAGAAAATTTGGCACACAGAATAGAGAAAACAACATCAGAATTATCCGGGAAATCGTACCTCTGGCCAGCTGATTATGGTAGATATGGAACTAAAATTTTTCCTCAAAATTAAAAGATAGATGCATGCGTTGTACTTTTATAGTCAGGGTAGAATAGGACTTAATGGCCTGGTTTTAGGTCCAATTGGCGATTTTTTTTAAAGATTTATTTTTGAATTTTGAATTTTATATTGATTAATTATTCCCCTATAATACCCTCATATAATATCCTCTTACCTTATGTTTGAATTCAAAAATAGGTATTGATTGAAGATTTTGTGGATCGTGATTGAAAATTTTTAGAAATTATTTATTTGTAAGTAAATACTCCCAAAAATTAGATATTTATCATAAAAATAGTTTGTCAGTGTAAAAGTTGTGGTATTTGGATGAGATTGAAAATTGATTTCCAAAAATAGTTTAGGGGTGCTGCGTATGGTGAAATCTTAAAAATTATGATAATTAAGTAATTGGTTTATTTTGGGCAAAGTTGGAGGGCTTTAACACAATTCTAGTTGCTTAGTCCTGTATATTAAATTATCTAGTAATAATTTTGGAGATTATTTAGGGAGGAATTGTTTATTTTTCTGAATTGAAAACCAATTCGTCTTTCAAAAAAATTCCAATGCATTAAGTTGCATGATTCCCGTACATTAATGTTTTACCTTAATTTTTGGATGTGAGGTCAATAGTTATTGAGTATATTTAATGTTGATTAATTACGATAATTATTTAAAAAATTCTATGGTCCAGTCGTTAAATTTTGACAGAACCATCTAGTTAAAATAGAGCCAATCAAAAAGAAGATGCCCCGTAAATATCATAGGGTGAGAAATATTTTGAAAAATCCTTTTCACTCCCTAACTGTTTTATTTTTTTATTTTTAAAATTTTTTTGGTTAAGCCTTAACATGCTAATGAAGTACTACCTTTGTTTTTTTCATCTGTCGTTTTAAGGTGAACCTAAAGTGTTTTTTTATTTATCGCACTTTATTTTTAATGCAACATTAAATAATGTTTTTCTAATTTTACCCTTATCTCTTACTACTTTTAATAACATATATTAATAATAATTACCTACTCTTTAACTTCAATTTTAAATTTTTTAGAGTTCCAATACTTTTAATTAGGGGCAAGAAAGAGAATACCCTTATAAACTAAATACCCAATCATTATTTCGTAATAGTTGTGCAAACCCTAAAGCGACAGATAAAGAAAACGGAGGTAGTAACTCACAAGGATTCCTTGTTTTTTTTTAAAAAAAAAAAAAAAAACTTTGTTTCGACTCTTACTGCCTGCACATAAACATTTTGACCATAAAAATCATAATTGCTAAAGTAGTTCGGGAGCAGAAATCATTAAGGATAAACCAATTAATTCACGCGTATAGAGATAGAAGAACCCTTTCTCCTTCTCATCAGATAACTAAAAAATTGAAAAGATAAATATGAATTTAGACAATCAGCTCATTCTCGTATAAAATCAACCACATAAAGATGGAAATTCACGGATGAATTTGCGATGCCCCGATATGTTACTCGTCTGCGAAGAAATCTTCTTTGATTTAATTTGCGATGCTCCTATATGGATTTTTTTTAAAGAAAATTTTTCCAACCCTTTCTCAAGAACTTATCATTCTGTGTAGCAATGACGTTTAGTTGTACCGGGTGGTTTATTACGTCGCCCACGAAACCATATTGAAATATGATTTTTTTTTTTTTTTTTCTCTTGCAACGGATGATTTTTTGTTGGATACTCTTTACTCTGTAGCGGTTAATCACTGCATTGTGTATACTACTAAGAATGGAGCTCAGTCTAAAAGCTAGTACCATGACTGACTACAATCAGAGTAGTTATAATCTTCTCATTTTTCCTGTTTGCTTAAAGTGAACATGTGGATTGAAGATGTACTATGGTGGTTACAAGTGCAATGCCCACGCTGAGGTTTAGTTGAAAATATATACCGAGTGTGTTTTGTTGGTAATAAGATTCGAAAGAGATGTGTTTATTTTTTATGGGCGTTACGTTGAATAGACGGTGTGCAAAATCAAACAGATTTGACTTGGAGCTGTGAGATTTCTTTTTAAGAGGTTCAGACTTTCAAAAAGCAATGTTTCCATTAACAGCTTAAAAAAAAAAGAAAAAAAAAAAAGCGGAGGATTTCTTGTGGTTACTTGATGCCATTCAAGGTTGTAGTTTCATTAAAACTATTAGAGCAAAATGGCTATAGATTGGCGAAGGCACACGTTCAGAGTTGGTCTCAACAGTGTAATCTTGATCTCAACAATTTTATCTGTTTGTTTTTTAAGTTTAAAATTCATATAAATTTTGTTTTGATTTTTTTTTTTAAAAAGGAACTTACTGAGTGTTGTGCTGCTCGTCCATTGCTAACTTAGCATTTGGAAAATGGTTAAAAGGCAAATTTATAATATTCCAATCTTGGGGGAAAATTTGTAGCTGAGGACATGCTAGTGTAAATAATCCCTAAAACCTTTGAGAATCAAGAGGAGGTTTATTAGAGGAGAGGGGTTTATTGACTGATTTGATTCCCTTGACTTTTGAGGGAAATTTGTGTGGCTTCCGTAATTCGACTCAGTTATTGTCATCATCATCATCATCCCCCTCTCTTCATCATCATCATCATCGTTCTCCATTTATCACAAAAATCAGAAAAAACCAACCACATAAACATGGAAATCCACGGATGAATTTGCAAATGCTCTGATATGTTAAGAAACCTACTTTGATTTAATTTAGGGAAAAAGTGCAAAATTTTGGATGATGATAAGGATGGGAAATATTGGATGAATAAGTGTTGAACAAAATTATAACTGATTATATAGGTTAACTAATTCTAATAGGGTTATATTGTGTGCAAGACCCTACAAACTTTTACGTTGCATCTCATTTAATTCTATGGTTATTGTGCTCCTTCATCATCCAACGGTTAATATTAATAATTGCATGGTTTAGTCGATTGGATCATAGTCGAGTCGACTGAATCATAGTCGCTCCTTAATTATTATAATGAATGTGATATAATATACTATAACTAATATTTTCTAGGAACTATTAGTTAAATGTTAAAAATTTTTTTGGTCTAAATTTTGAGAAAATGCCACATTGGATTTTTTTCCTATGTCGCGCTCTAGAAATAATTTTTTGCCTTCATCAACTTTTAGTGATGTCCCTAGTTATAGAGATCATGTTACAATGAACTACATAATCAATCTTTATCTTACTGACTAAATTATTTGCAAAGCCATAGCTAACGTATTCAACAGCGCATCCAAAGGTGAAAAACAAAATACAAAACCCAAATTAATCTAAAGATTACAACAAGCACAATCGAAAGTGCCTTGCCAGCTCCTTTTTCTTGACGTTCACAGCTCCTCTTTCCCTGACACCCCTAACACCTTTTTCTTCTACTGGCTTAAAGACTTCATCCATGGCTCATGAAATTACTGAAATTTACATCAATGCGAAATATATAAGCTTCAAACTAATAAAGAGTACACATATTTAGCAGCTACATGCATCAATTAATTCACAAAAAACGTGCTTAGGGTTTTGAAATCAGCAATTAAGACGCAATTCATCATCAATTATTAAAGTATCAGCACCAAGTCAAGATAAAATTCGGAAGAGGGGAATTTGATTCAATGCTCTTGGTTCAAGATTTTTTTAAAAAAAAAAACATACCAAAACATATACACTATTCGTAAAAAAAAATAATAATACTAGTCTCAGTTCAAAACTTTTACCGCATAATCTCAGGCTCGGGAACGTCAGATAGAGTTTATCAAATATTCCAATCAACTTCATGCTATCAATTATGTCGATGCTCTCAACCTCCAAATAATCGTGGTTAACGTTTTGTTGTAATCCGCAAGGTACTGCCATCCTCAAGCTGTTTCCTGTCAAAGATCAACCGCGAAGGGTCCGGCGGAATCCCCTCCTTGTCGATGGTGTTGGACACTCTGCGCCGAGTGTCATCGTCTTCCCCGTCGGTATTACAAACAAATCCCACAAACGCTGACTAGCGAATTGGGAATAAAAAAGCAGGACACAAGGGACACAAAATGACGTATTAATTTCCTTTAGAGTGACTGGTTACAACTTCATAACAACGTCGGTATTTGGATGGATTGATTTGACGGAGAGGAGTTGGGGGAGAAGGGCTTGAAGACGCAGCAGCTTTTTTATTTTGGAGGTTTTTATTTTTTTTTTTTAATTTGGGTATTTATAATCCAATGAAAATGTAAAACATTAGGGTATGTTTGTTTTGTTTTTTTAGTTTGTGTTTTTAGGTGTTTTTTCTATTAGAAATGTAAAAAGGTGCATTGGAAATGTAAAAAAAATATGTTGGGATGAGACAGTTAATATTTTATTATTATGAAAAAACCATCCAAAAAATAAAACAAACAAAGGGAGTAAACACATCTTTTTACATTCGGGGGTTTTAAAATAGTAGTCTCAAAATGACGTCGTTTTGGGTTCGAGGGAATTTTAAAAATGACCCAAAACGTAGTTATTTTGAGTTCGGGGGATTTTAAAATAAGGGAGTAAAATAAATATTGAATTATGGATTTACAACTATGTCTCTTCATAAGTTGTTGATGTCATGACGTCCGTCAAATTGATTTAGACTGTCAGATGGAGGCACTTGAGCGGTCAGGATCTCATTTGGGCTGAATAATTTCCTCTAATTTCTTAGAAACTCAGACTTTTATTCAAGTGTGTAAAGAAAAAAGAAAAACTTAAATATTTGAAGAAATGGAACAATGATGAGAATCCATAGATTTGAGAAAACAAATCAATCGTAACTACAACAAGAATCGAGAAAGAATTGACGAAAAAAGATTTCTCACAATAATAACATCATTTTATTTCTTTGATGGTGATTGATGAACTTCTCGCTAAGTCAAATGTAAGAATGAAGTTGAGAGAAATACACAAACAGGAGAAGCCCAAACATAACGCATAAAAACATTATTGATCATCATCCCTAAGGCAAAAAGCACACAGCGCTTTTAATTTGATATATGATCACCAAATCTCTTTTTTCATTTTTGGGGATAAACTCTTTTCTCATTAAAAAAAAAAACTAAAAAAAATCCAATTTATTTTATTTTATTTTTTGTCTTCCAAGCATCTTCAGAAAAAAAGGAATGAACTTGTTTAAACGGTCATGCCCAATTCAGCAAGGACATCCTTGCAGCCAGCATCAGGAGTGGTGGTCTTGAACCCAATGGGATTAGCATAGCGAGAAGTTCCCTGTACACCACTGTTTTCGGTCAACAACACTCTGGCCTTATCGGCATTGGTGAATGGCACATTGCATTTGGCATCTGGGCTGCTCAATGCCGAGACCTCGCAGATCTCCTCTTCGTGGTCCCCGATCACATCGATGCTATAGCCTCCGTCGTTGTTGGTCCATCCTTCCTTGGTGACGGTCACTGCGTTGGTGTCCCTATTCCTGCATTGAACTTGTACCCTGGCACCTGTCACACGTAGAAAAAAGAAAAACATTTTTCCATCGATTTTTCAGTATGTGAAAAAAGTATACTGAGACAAAAAATATATTGATAAAAAAAAATCTTAATAATAGTACTGTAGAAACGTGATTAATTATTTTGAAACAGAAATAAAATTAATTACCAGGGATAGGGTAACTGAGACGGGTGTGGAATTCAACGTTGCATGGATCACAGTAGACCCCACCATAGGTATTATAAACCTTCTGCTGGGCATGAGCAAAGGTGGCAATGGCCAAGAAGCAGAGAGCAGACACGAGAATAGCGGCCTTTGCCATTTTTTTTGTTTTTTTGGTAGTTTTTTTTCTTTTTTTTCTGGGGTTTTTTGCCTCTTGATTTGGTTCTTCTCTTGTTTGTGTATCTACTGGGTTCTTTCAGGATGGGATTGTGATGGCCTTTTTATAGGAAATGGAGAAGAATGGAAAATGGGGTGGAGCGATCGTTTCTCCACTTTTCCACCATTTTTGTTGTGAGATTTTTAAATTTCCACAATAATTCTAAAGGAGGTGCATAACCATCTTTCCACATTAAAAGGTTAAAATAAATATAAAAAAAAAAAGCTAAACAAATGACAACCAAAAATTTCTGTTAATTTTTCGAAACCGTCAAAAAGTCCAGGTAAAAATTAGTGAACGGAAAATGAGCCAAAAATCTCTCTTTTTCTGAACACACAAATAAACCTAAAAAAAGTTAAAACAACAACGAAAATACCAAAAATGGTGGGAAAGTGGAGAAACAATCGCTCCACCCCATTTTCCATTCTTCTCCATTTCATGTAAAAAGGCTATCACAATCCCATCCTGAAAGAACCCAGTAATACACAAACAAGAGAAGAACCAAATCAAGAGGCAAAAAACCCCAGAAAAAAAAGAAAAAAAACTACCAAAAAAACAAAAGAAATGGCAAAGGCCGCTATTCTCGTGTCTGCTCTCTGCTTCTTGGCCATTGCCACCTTTGCTCATGCCCAGCAGAAGGTTTACAATACCTATGGCGGGGTTTATTGTGATCCATGCAACGTTGAATTCCACACCCGTCTCAGTTACCCTATCCCCGGTAATTAACTTTATTTCTGTTTCAAAATAATTAATCAAAAATGAGTATTATTATTAAGATTTTTTTTTATCAATATATTTTCCGTCTCAGTATACTTTTTTCACATACTGAAAAATCGATGGAAAAATGTTTTTCTTTTTTCTATGTATGACAGGTGCCAGGGTACAAGTTCAATGCAGGAATAGGGACACCAACGCAGTGACCGTCACCAAGGAAGGATGGACCAACAACGACGGAGGCTATAGCATCGATGTGATCGGGGACCACGAAGAGGAGATCTGCGAGGTCTCGGCATTGAGCAGCCCAGATGCCAAATGCAATGTGCCATTCACCAATGCCGATAAGGCCAGAGTGTTGTTGACCGAAAACAGTGGTGTACAGGGAACTTCTCGCTATGCTAATCCCATTGGGTTCAAGACCACCACTCCTGATGCTGGCTGCAAGGATGTCCTTGCTGAATTGGGCATGACCGTTTAAACAAGTTCATTCCTTTTTTTCTGAAGATGCTTGGAAGACAAAAAATAAAATAAAATAAATTGGATTTTTTTTAGTTTTTTTTTTTTAATGAGAAAAGAGTTTATCCCCAAAAATGAAAAAAGAGATTTGGTGATCATATATCAAATTAAAAGCGCTGTGTGCTTTTTGCCTTAGGGATGATGATCAATAATGTTTTTATGCGTTATGTTTGGGCTTCTCCTGTTTGTGTATTTCTCTCAACTTCATTCTTACATTTGACTTAGCGAGAAGTTCATCAATCACCATCAAAGAAATAAAATGATGTTATTATTGTGAGAAATCTTTTTTCGTCAATTCTTTCTCGATTCTTGTTGCAGTTACGATTGATTTGTTTTCTCAAATCTATGGATTCTCATCATTATTCCATTTCTTCAAATATTTAAGTTTTTCTTTTTCTTTTATAAATTAAAAAAAGGTTCATTAATGACCTTTTCCCGTTTTACTTCAAATTAAACGTATAGTAATGAATCATCCATGCATTAAATCATCATATTATTTTTTAATATATCTTAATTATATTCTTCTTTTTTCCACCATGTGTTTGATCAAAAGTCAGTTCCATTCCAACTTTTTTAATTTTCTAGTATTTCGTATTTATAGTTCTCACATCATCATTCCACCCAAACTTCAAATTCTACTTCATATCCACTATTCTAATAACGCTCAATACAAACTTAATTATATATCTAGTGTCTGTAAATAAATTGAGAGAACATATGAATGAGATGAATGTTTTTTTTCTTTTTCTTTTTTTTTTTTTGGCTACAAGTAATTGTTTAATGACTCGCTACATACCAAAAGCAGAGAGAACTCTTTGAACATATGATGATTTTCTTGAGCTATAATCATATAATCACGAGAGAAATAAAAATTTCTACAGTTCTTATTCTTTTATCAACAGAATTTACTAAAACGAAACATGTGTAGTTTTTCTAGGTGGTTTATGATTTGCAAGCTACTACAGTAAGAGTGGTTCACCATTTCTGATAGGTTTCCCGTTTCCGGCCTTAAAAAATAAAATAGTATAAGGGAACATGTGTAGTTTCATTCCGAAATGGTTTTGCTTCTTTTCTGTATTCGGAGATTTTGGAGTGTAACGCTGAGATTATTGCCGAAATAAATTAAAGATTAGTTAGTTAAATTAATTATATATATGCTTTTCAAAAGTAAGATTTTGGTCCGCTAGTACATCAAAAGAAGAAAATTATTCATTTACAAACTAAAAACTACTATTAACATTTAAAACAAAATAAAAGTTATGTAAAAGAATATCGTATGTAATTTGGAGTGAAATTTAATTGTTTAAGGCACTAAACGTGATACAACACGCATGTGTGTGCTTCTAAGGGGAAAAAAAAGAAAATATTATTAATATACTTTCGAGTGCCAAATTTAAGTATACTCTCTCCACTTCTTATTATAAGACATTTTAATTTCGTTCTAAGTTTAACATAGGATGTCTTTTTAATTGAAGAAAAAAACCTTAAAAATATATTTTCACATTCGTTGTGTTTTCTTAATTATTATAAAATATTTTTAAGGTTTTTATTTCAATTAAAAAAACATCATAGGTGAAACTTAAAACGAAATCAAAATACCTTATAATAAGGACCGGAGGGAGTATAAAGCATTAAAACATTTACCCAGGCCACAAGTAATTTACACAGTCCGTGGATAATTTATGGCTAAATAAAAATTTATCCACAAATTACTTAGGGATATATTTTCTACAGAATAATCTGTAGGTAATTCATGAGAAAATAATTGACGGGGGTCGGGAGGAAAAACTTACCCATGAAATGCCCACGGTTAAAGGCAGTCCTAGGTGATTCTGCCAATAAGTTCATAGATATAACGTGATTAAATAAAAAAGAAATTTTTGTTCAAATTTAACGGGTAATCCCTGTACTCGCTGAATACCCACAACCAAAATTTTCCGCGAATATTTAGCCATTTTTTTGTAGTGTTATATGTCGACTTTATCATCGAGTTGCTATCGAGACGTTTTGGTTGGTCGACTTGTTTTTGACAACGAAAACTTGTACTTTGTGGACTTGATAGGCTATCGCTAACGCTTTGGTCGACGAGTTTTTCACCAAAGAAAATTGCATTGCGTCGACTTTATCATAGGGATGAGCTATTTCGACGCTCAGGTCGACGACATTTTCGTGGAAGAAACCTGCACCTAGTCGATTTTATCATCAAGAAGGGATATCTCGACACTTTAGTCGACGTGTGTAAACCAAGGAAAATTGTACTTAATCAACCTTGCCGACCAAGGACTGACTTTACCATTGGGCTTTAACTCTGGACACTAAGGTTTAGACGTTGAAGTTATTTTTCACAGAGGGAAACTTGCAGTTCGTTACCTTTTATTGTTGGACTATGAAAGTCCACGACAATGTTGACGAAATTGTCACCAAGTACAAAAATTGAATCTCATTGTCATCCACATCGCAACAGTGAAGTACAAAAATCGAAGATCCGAAAAGGCACAGCACAAACAATAGATTCACTCAATGAGTAATTCAGCAGAAATGGTACATGATAGAAGTTCACAGAAATAGATTAGATAAGCTGACCTACATGTTAAGTAAACTAATCCAAATTAGCAAAAAGGATTGTCAAAAGAGCATTAAGAGCTCGGCGCAAAAAAGGTTAGCCTAACATAACTAACAATCCTTGATCCATCATCACTTGGGAATTCTCTTCAGCAATTTGTATAAGCCAAAAACATTCTTCTGTTGCCAAAGATATGGGATGAAGAATGAACGGTACAGCGGTGGAGACATTTCCCTATCCAGATAAGGTATTGCTGCAACCGCCTGTAAAACAAAATGTTTCTAGTGAGGAAAATTTCCCTTGTTCAATTTTTGTCGGTTTAAGCAAAAACATCGCCTCATCCAGGTTGAGAGAGAGAGAGAGAGAGAGAGAGAGAGAGAGAGAGAGAGGATGTACCTCCCACGTTTGCAAGTCACTTCCGCGAGTTAGGAAAGGTCGTTGAAGCTGCAACTCTACAAGCAATGTGCACTTCTCAATATCCTGCAGCTGCAATACAGAGAGCATATGGAAACGACACTCAAACTTACAGCTCAACAAGTTCAGCAAAAAGAACAGTAACACTCTTTTACGAGAGAGAGAGAGAGAGAGAGAGAGAGAGAGGATGTTTACATATTGCCCCTCTGATGCTTTGTTCTTATTGTTGAAATAAGAAGGTGCTGCAGAAGTTCCACCCAAAGTTGAGTTAAAAGGGAACGGAAGAAGCCCCGTGAACCCATCATCTATCCAACGAACTTCAGCCACATAATCAGGAATGAAGAAGGATGAAGGAAATCGGTGCCACTCACTCCCAACACAAAGAACAGAACCTGAGATTTATCATATGAGCATCCAGGTCAGAAACCACATGAGCACAGAAGGCAACAAAAAGGCATCAGAATTTCAGGTCAATACTGAACGAGTATTGGACATTTGCCCCAAGCAATAAGCACAAAAAGCATTGGGCTGTAAATTTTGTGCATTTTGAACCGACGCTCCTCGAGAAGGGAAAAAAAGAGAGAGAGAGAGATAAACTATCACCTGTTCCTACGTCGTCATGATGCTCCAAATGTTTGTAAGTTTCTATAGGTGCCGAATACCCGTGAATCAGAGAAAACGTACGTGAATGGGATACACACAAAATAAGACCAAGAACAAAGGGTCTGACAAATTTCGCCATCTGCATACACAAACCGAAAGATCAATTTTGACTGGAAATGGTTCTTGAGAGAGTAGAACAAGTGAGTTTAGCTGTCAATATTACCGTTACAAGAATAGAATCATCACGAGGGTCATACTTATCCCGGAACAAATCAGGAAAGCTCTCAATAACAGCTGAAGCAGCAACACATATAAGCGGATATATTGGATAGAGAAACCTAATAAAACAGAAATCCTCAGATGTCACCATATCTCTAAAACTTCAAGGAACTCGGCTCTACCACAAGAACATCCCAAGGTGCTTTGCAGGATGTGAAAGAACATTAACAAAAACAGAGCTCCCAACTAGGCTTAACAATACAAAGAGCATGCAGTAAACAAACCTTTCTTCTTTATGAGGCTGCAATGACATAAATGCTATCCAGATATAGACAGGTGAGACAATAACCAATAACTCCGGAGCATATTTCTTCTTCACAACAGGTAGAATAGCAGGGAACAGCAGGGCAAGAACAAAAGAGAGATTAAAATTATTAAAGCCATTCTTGAGATAATACAGTGGCCCTTCAACACCGTATAAATGGCTCTCTCCACCGCCTAGGACATTGTACACCAACAGATTAAGAACAGATGACGTCCACTTTTTGTAGTAATAATAGTCAACCACACCAGACAGCACCTAGAAGTTCAAAATGTTTATCATGCATGAAATTCACACCAATCAAGATTAAATTTTATACTTCGCTTGGCAATTAAATGACAAATCAGGTCACCATTCTAACCAAATACACTCACCAGAAGGGTAATAGAACTGATTAGGCCAGCGAGGAAGGACCATTTAAATCTTTTGATCAAAGAGTATATAGTGATTGGAAGGAATGCTAAGATTGAGAATGGCCAGCCCAGAATAACTCCAGTCGCCGCAACAGCCACTGCCATGGCATGTCTTCCAAAAAGAAAAAGTGCTGAAGAAAGAGACATAGCATACATAGCAAAGGAACTAGGCAAGAAACCTGAAAATAAAGCCCCAGATAAATTCATTCACAATGTCAAAAAGGACTATAAGGAAAACAGTCAAAGATCGGAAAGCAAAAATGACTGAAATACCTACTAGTACTAGCAAAGAAACAACCGCTGGTTAAGCACAGCATGGCCAGAGTGTAAGTGGCAAGTCGTTTTCCATACTTCTTGGAGAGCGCAACCACCAGAGCAGCATCGGCCACAACTGAAATGAGCGCGAGAAATATTCTCACAGCATAAAATACCCTCACCTGAATTTGTTTCCCCATCAAATCCATGTCATTTAACAACACAGCAGCACCAAATAGCCATAGAGACGAGATTAAACTATGGAAATTCTTACTTTTTCCTCACCAAACCACCATGAAGCAGGCCATCCAACTAAGTTGTGGAAAATAATGTAGAGATACGACCGCAACGCAAACTGGGAGCTACAAAACACAAAAGGGAGGACCCAAACAGAAAAAATTGAATCAAAATATCGCGTGAAATATGGCAAACCTGTAATTGTACTCACATCCTCAGCTAAGCTAAACACACAAACAAACACAAGGCGAAAATCAAACTGTAACAAACAACACAATCAACAAATCTAAACAGAATGCCAATACTGGCACATATTAATTGCATAGAAGGAGCAAAATTAGGGCGCCTAGAAATGGACCTGTACTCCCAAGTTTGAAAGCCAGACTTGTAGAGGAGATAATGAAGAGGCTCCCAGTAATTGAAGACCTCGTCGCAGTCGTGTATGATGTTTGAAGAAGCACTCATGTATCTTAGCATTCCTAGAGCAATCAACGGAAACAGCCACCCCAGTCCTTGGTCGGCGTCATCTTTTCCGCCGTTGGATCTCTTCGGCTTATCGACCTTCGTATACGATGAAGAAGACGACGACGACGCCGGCGTCGACGCTGACCGATCGGTGGGCAAAAGCCGCCTCTGCCTTGTCGCTAAAGCCATACTTCTAGACGCTTCGATGATATACTGAATGCTGTTTTTGAATGATGGTGTCGTTTTTAATGGTTTTCTCTTTTCTGGCAGTAAAGTGAATGTGCAGCGTGCAGGTGATGATTCAAAATCGCGCCGGTTTTCGGTTCGGGTAATATTCCTTTCTTCCGGTTGAGTTTTCAGTCTGAGGGTGGGCCAATGTGCTTTTAGATTGGGTTGTATGTATAAGCAATTGGGCTTCATCCATTTTTATCCCTTAACATCTAACTTTCAAACTTAACCCAGTTTCAGGGCCCTAAATCGGCGGTTAATTTTAGCAAGTACTTCTGGTCGTATATTAGTAGTTTGTTATTTTTTTCATTTCGAAATTATTGTACTGATATTTGTGTAACTTATATCTAAAATGAAAATTCAAATTGAATTATAATATTAGAACTGAGAGAATATTTGTCAATTTACTTTTCCTTTCTACCTAGTCTCACACAGTGAACCAGATACGATTCAGACAAAATGTAACTCTTTGAAGAGTTCATCAAAGAACGTATATAAACAAAAGAAAGAGAAGTATATATGTGAAGTGATTAGGTTTTTCTGCTCCTGCAGAGATTTGTGTTGTTAATGCTCTTGAGTTTAGTATTAGATCAACTATCTTTTGATCACCCAACTCCCGCTCAAAAATGGGCATGTAACTTAAGCGTAATGTTCCTCTACAATATAAAGAGAGTTTTAGTGTAATCACACTACAAGAATTTTTTAAAAATTGAAACACGCTACTTTCAAATCTTATTAATCATGCATATTATACGAGTTTAGTCATCCTAATTTATGCTTATCACTGGTTGAAGAACTTTTTGAGCTATCTTAACAATAGAACAATTGTGATCCAATTACAATAAAAATAAAACTTACTCCCTCTGTCCCATAATTATTGTTCACTCTGAGTTTTCATTTCTAGTTCAAATTGTGCTAAAGTAAATCTCAAACTGGACAATAATTTTTTGAGAGAGAGAGTATAATCTTGATTGATGGCCAACTTGTATATTTGGGTGAATTTGAAAAGTGACTTGGCCGATTTCCAAAATCCAATAGGCTGTGTTATAGAGATCCTGGCAAAAATGCTGCCGGGATAAAAGGTGGGTAAGTCTTTTATTTTATTTTTTGACAAACAGGTGGTATTTGAACTTTTTTTTTAATGCGTACAAAACGCGGACCAAATTGCTTGCTAGCAACTGGTTTATACTCCCTCTCCCTCTGGTCCTTAATATAAGGTATTTTAATTTGTCTTAGCTTTAATTTAGTATACATTTTTTATGAACGAAAAAACTTTAAAAATATTTTATAATGATCAAGAAAATATGACAAATGTGAAAATATATTGTTAAAGTTTTTTAATCAATAAAAAATGTCTACTAAGTAAAACTTAGGAAAAGTCAAAATGCCTTATAATAAGGACCGAACGAAGTATATCTGATGCATATTTATATGGAGGTCAATTTTTCGGTCAATTATGTAATACCGTTGGTAGTTTCAGGTATTGATAATTTTCATAAATTACTTAACAGATTTAAATTAAACCGCAACTATAACAAGACATATTCAGTTAAGAAGTATAATTAATACTAATTCAGACTTTTAACCACCTTCCTTCTAAGTTTAAGAGAAAATTGGTTTCAGTCATAAATGGCTCTATATAGCGCCGTTGACCCAACCGGTTGTATGAAAATTCAAGAAGTTCCATCTATACAAGAAGTTCTATAAATACAGAACATATTCCACCAGTACTAAACGTAGTAATAATGACAGAAGCAAAGAAGAAACCTTTAGCTGTAAAGCCTGTAATGGAGATTGGATTGGGTGATTGGGTGGAGGTTTTCAGCGACGAAGATGGGTTTCTCGGGTCATACTACGAGGCCCGGGTTCTGGAAAAATTGGGCGATGCCAAATTCTTGGTGGAGTACAAGAATCTAGTCACCGAAGAGGATGAAACTGTGCGGCTTCAAGAAGAAGTCAAGGCTTCAAGAATGAGGCCAAAACCTCCGGCGATTAGGGTCCCCGGGTACGATGTTTTGGACAAAGTTGACGCCTTTGACAATGACGGGTGGTGGGTCGGCAGGATCACGGGTCAAGATGCCCGGAACAAGTACAGCGTGTATTTCGAGAGCTCCGGGGACGAGATTGTTTACTCTGTGGATCGTTTGAGGCCTCATCTGGAGTACGAGAATGGGAAGTGGATTCGTTCTGCTGCTGGAATTTGGTACTAATTGGTGGCTTCAGTTTCTTGATCTGCTTCAAAAGTGTGTAGAGATTTTAGGCTTAAGGCTTATCTTAGTAGTAATCGTATTGTATTAACCTCTTAGGGCTACTGTTTTGGGGTTTGATGTCTGTTTCATTGCTGCAATTTCTGCAGTTTATGATGCAGGGTTTCGGATGTAGTCTCTGAGATCTTAAGTTTGACACATTTCAGGGCTACAACAATGTAACTTCTTTCACATAATATCGTGGAGGTTTTGTTGTCTAACTTGTTTTTCATTGCAATTCAGACAATTGACTCATCACTTCAATCAATTTGAATAAACCATGGCTAAAAGAGCCCAGTTTAACAATAAGAACCGGAACAAAGACTGCAATTTTTTTTTAAGTCACTCACTCAGATTTTACAAAATGACAGATGCTTCACGTTATCCATTCCAATGGAGTTGAATTCCAACAGTCTCATGATACCATAAGAAACTGATGATACATTTTTTTTCCCCACCCAAATAAACCACACAAAATGGGGCTACTTCCCCAATACAAATCCAGACCTTAACAGAGACAAAGTTTGGCTGGCAATCGTGCCATTCAGAATGGATGTTTCTATAGGTCAGGTGTAAACTGTAAAGAAACTTAGTGATATTATTATTCAAAGTGAAAAGGGGAAAAAGGGAGGAAAAAAAAAAAAAGTATCAAACTTAGCCAGTGTTCTGCATGCCTGCTGCAATACCCTTCATTGTCAAGATGAGAGTATCTTCCAAACCAGGGGCATAGTCACTGGTTGGGTTGAGCCGATTGTATTCTGCAGCAAGCTTCGATTCCATGTATTCCTTGGAGATATGAGGTCTCAACTCCACGCAGTAGTTTGGATCGCGGATTCGCTTTAGCGTGTAAGCCTGGAGAACGTTCAGAGTCGTAATATAAGAGTCACGCAAGCAAAGCTGTTGCTTCAAGTAAGGGTCTCCTTCCAGAAGATCTTTGTGTCCAGAAATCTGCAGAAGGCACACAAAAAAAAAAAGGAAAAAGAAAAAGCATGAGATTGTTGAGTTCATTTTTTAACCAAATCAAAAGTGGCAAACTTGATGCATCCTGATATTTGAAGTTGTCCCTACATTACCTGCAGCAGAAGGTTTTTGGTTTCCTCGTAATCTTTCCTCAATCGTTCTCCAAATGCCCACAAGTCTTCTGAAACGAGAAGCTTATCATAGAGAGCAGCAATACCAGGGTCACCCTTGGCGAACACCATCTCAACCAAATCAATCGTGACCCTAAAGAAAGGCCATTCGTTGTACATTTGCTGAAACATTTGAAGGTTTCTAATGTCCTTTTGAATAGCATATTTGAATGCTGCTCCAAAGCCAAGCCAAACTGGGAGATGAAACCTAGTTTGTGTCCATGCAAAAATCCAAGGAATAGCTCTAAGTGATTCAATGCCTCCACTTGGTTTCCGTTTTGAAGGGCGGCTACCAATATTCATTCGACCATACTCCAGCTCAGGCGTGGCCTATCATGAATCCAAAAGTTTGGTAAAATAAGATAAAATAAACTTAGTAAAAGTTATCATCAAACTACTGTAGCGAGAAAGTGCATGAGTTGTAAAATGTGTGATGTATCACTTCAGAGTGAGAACATACCAGGCGGAAATACTCCACGAATCGTGGTTCTTTGAAAACGATGGACCGGTATTTCTGTGTAGCAATGACAGTGATTTCATCCATGAGTGCACGCCACTCCGGTTTTGGAGAGATAGGGGGATGCATCCCATGCTCAAGGGTGGCAGCAGTGAATCTCTGAAGGGTTCTGAAGCATAGATGTTCTTCACCAAATGATTGTTCAATAACTTCTCCTTGGACTGTCACACGGAGATTTCCATGGATTGTATCTGGAGGTTGAGACAATATAGCAAGATGTGTGGGTCCACCGCCTCTTCCTACAGTTCCACCACGGCCATGGAACATAGTTAGCTTCACACCAAATTCCTTGGCTACTTTAACCAGTTCCTCCTGAGCCTTGTATAACTGCCAAGCTGCCGAAAGTCTACCAGCATCTTTGCCTGAATCTGAATACCCAATCATTACCTCTTGTTTACCATTAATCCTGTTTCTGTACCATTCAATAGAGAAAAGCCGAGCAACAGCAGCAGGTGCAGCCTCCAGATCATCTAGTTTCTCGAAAAGCGGAACAACCCTTAATGGCGTCCTCACATGGCATTCCCGCTGAAGAAGTTCAACTGCCAGAACATCAGAAGGGGAAGTGGCCATGGAGATGATGTATGCTCCAAAGCAGTCTGGTGGAAGTTCTGCCAGAACATGGAAAGTATCCAAAACATCAGAAATTTCTTCAGTTTTTGGAAGGTCAGGTCCAAACAGAGGTCGCTTCCCACTCAGTTCAGAAAGGAGCCATTCCTGCCTCTTCTCTTCTGACCACTCTCGGTAAGAACCAATTTCCAAGTGCTTGGTAATTGCATCAAGGACATCTGTGTGACGGTCTGACTCTTGTCTTATGTCAAGTCTCACAAGTGAGAGCCCAAATGTAGAAACTTGTCTCAGGAAATCCAAAAGGGTTCCATCAGCAATGGGTTTGTCACCGCAAGCACAAAGAGATCTATAGCACAGCTCAAGAGGCTCTAAGAACTACAAATTAAAAAGGAGCATGTTAGGAAATGTTAATGTTGACGCATGCTCATAGTCAAAACATAGCAACATGATCCAAAATTAGTATAGCAGCTCAGTTGTTAAGGTATCCACATCTTTTGAAGTGTTTGAATACCTCTTCAATGTTGGTGTAGGTTGCCTCTGCTGGAATTTCAGAAGTTCCATGGGCTAACAAATGACGAGACCGCTCACGTGTCTGATACAGCTTATCCCTTACATCGGCAAGTATAACACGATACGGCTCACTTGCAGGTACATGTTTCCAAAATTCTGTATTACGAGAGAATCAACTTTAAGTCAGCAATGCTTAATTGTAACGTAAGACCGAAAATCCAAAAAGAACCCACATATCAATCAATGTACCACATAATAAGTCATCTTTGCTTAGTAAAAAGTATGCTTAACTCATAGAAACAGTTTCAATAGTGTATTTACAGTAACATTAGCATCCTTACCAAAGACCAACTAAGAAAACTTAAGGAGATAGTCTCTGGTCTCACCTATATAGTGCTTTGCATCTTTCTTCAAAGATTGGTGAACTATGTCAGCTCGCACACGAAGTTCTTCACTGCAGCGCCACATTGACAACTGAAAAAACATTCGTTGAGTGAGATAGCTAGTTCGAGCAGATAAGGAAGTACAGAGATCAGAAGCATTCAGTGAAAAAAAGACAAAAGTTCAAAGTTGAAAATAGAAACCTCAAACATGAGGTCTTCTATCTGGGAATAGTACAAATTAGCAGCCATCATCCTGGCCAACAAGCAAACATCCCTTGTAACCTCAGGAGTTACTCTTGGATTCCCTGCAATAGAACCAAAAATCTGTTAGTCAACATCTTTTGGTGTCTTTGGGAGTCAGAATAATAATATATAACAGGCCCAGTTTTTTAGCAAATACACAACAGAAAAACTGACATGATTATGCAAAAGGCCACTTACCATCACGATCACCACCCATCCAAGAAGAGAATTGAATTAGGGGTGCATTATAGGGAAGACGTTCATCTATCCCTATATTCTTGAGAGCTGTATCAACTCGTCGTAGAAACTTTGGAACACCCTTCCATATTGTCTCATGAAAGTAGCTCATACCAGCTCTCATCTCATCCTGAGGTGTTGGAGGAGTCCTCCGAATCTCATCTGTTCGGAAAGCAGCTTGAATCTGTAGCAGAAACAAGATAACACAACAGCTGAAGATAAGCAACTTATAAACGGGCCCAAACATATTCAGACCAGAAATTACTTCATACTGCATTGGAAACAGCAAAATTTTACCTCCCTCTGCAAGGCCTCATCAAGCTCCTGCTTATCATCAGGTGTGATGTCTTTGGCATATAACTGAGCCAAACAATTGCGGATCCTGGAAGGAGTATAAGAATTAGGAAAAGGGAAAGAACTTGACCAATATAAGAAACTCCAATATCGTCCAATGAAAAACCCAATGCGATAATAGAGCAGAAATTTCTGACTGGTGGTCGATAAATCCACAAGAAAGCAAGATACAAACCTTCCATGTTTTTGGAGCAATGACCTCCTAACAGACTGAGTGGGATGAGCAGTTAGGACAAGGTCCACAGTCTGATTCTTTAATGCATCAAAAACCTCCTGAGGAGATTTGTTCAACTCCTTTACAAGTCTTTTGAAGGTTTCCTCAATATCAGATTCGGTAATTGCTGAGTTCTCATCACCAAGATCACCTTTCTTCAACTTGTTCCTTCGACGATAAGCTATCTGAACCTCCTCAGCCAGATTGGCTAAGTTAAGCATGTGAGAGAATGCTTTGGCAATGACTATCGAGTCACCAGGATCCAAACTGGTCAACAAATGGCCAAGCTCCTCAAGCTTCTTGGGATCCTGGTTGCCTTCATACTCAGCAGAGAGCTCATAACATTCTTGAACCTATGATATCAGATGAAAGTAAACAGTCCATTGAGTATAACTTGCAGATTCTCGAGGTAATTAAAGGCAATGAATAGCGATATCCATTAAATTGAGCAGTAAAATAGAAGATCTAAGAGACTAAGGTCTGAAAGCTAAACGACAAAATAGAAAGCAGCTCAGTTACATTGACTGACTGAGCAACTTAGAAACATAGATTAACCAAACAAAGAAAGGTGTGAAAAATAAAACCTAATCCAAAATGAGTTTTATCATAATCCTTAAGTTCCTTCCATTGCATTGGATCAAATAATGACCAATCTAAGCAGTTTCAAAAACTGTCCAAAGAAGTTTGATTGGCTTGAGAACATCAAGATCAGATTTTTATTCTACATAATGACACAAGTTAAATCTAGATTTGAAGATGGCCCTTTTCATATAAATCAGATTAACAACTACAAATGGTTAGAATTGAAAAAAAAAAAAATAGAAGAAGGAACAAGAAAAAGAATGCGCACCGTTTCTTTAAGGTCTTCTCCATGTAAGTCCTGAAGAATGTCAAGGAATCTGTCCAAAAGCAGAGCATCATACTCAATGAGCTTGTCATCATCAGCCACTTTGACAGGCACCAAATTCCTTAATTGGGCATCTATGGATGCCAACTTCTCCAAATTCCGATCAGGTGACATATCTCAGTCACTAGTAGGAAAACAACCCCTTCTTTCTCTCTAATCCAACAGTAAAGCCTGTGAAGAATAAGAAATGAGCAACAAAAAATCAGTGATATGAACAGAGATTTGAGAAGTTGACCAAAAAAACTGATAAATCGGATCATGCCCCCACTACTCACTGATGTAATGGACTGATAATTTAGTAGGGCCATAAAACGAAAATGACAACAACAAAAGGATAAAAACACCAAACTTGTCAGAGTCCACTAATTCATTAAGCAAGACAATGCAGCCTGATGTAAATTGGCTAAGCCCAGACGGTTAAACTGATGTAATTGATGTCTGTCAATAAAAGAAGTAGTACCTGAATCAAGGGAAGAAGAGTGAGAAAAGGCAAGAGAGAAAAATAGAGAGAGTCAGTTGATCGACTGAGTGAAAAATGTGCATTTAGCTATGCTATTTATAGACGCAGAATGGAACTTCTTTAGAGGAAAAAAAACCAAAAAAAAAAAGAAAAGAAAAGAAAAGAAACCTTTTTTATATTTCTTCTTTTTTTCTGCTAACCATTTTTGGGGTTCATGGGAAAATTAATACAGAAGGCTCCACAAATCCAAGATGATTGGCTTGGGTCAAACTCTTAGTGCTTGCTAGTTGCTACTCAGTACTAAAAGTTTTTTCAGTTTTGATTCATTTCAGTGTTCAACAGTTTAGAGGAGAATATACTTTCTTCTTCGGCCACCAAAGATTCTTGATTTTTACTCACCAAAGCAAAGATTGAATGTACTTTGTATTTTGTATCTTTCTCCAGAGATGATGTATCGATAATGCCGCTATTGAGGAGGAAAAAGACACCTCAAATTTGCTGTCAGTATTTTCCTATTTTTGGGTTCTTTATGTAAGTAGTATCAAAATAATTTGTTGCGGTGTTCTTTTTTGGAATCACATTTATTAGAATTTTCAATTACCAGATTTTTCAGATCTTACTCTTCAACGAATGACTATAAATTTTCTTCTGACCAAGCCTGTGTACAATATTGTACTTTAACTACCATTAAACCTATGAAGTTTCTTTTTCTCGGTCAATTAATAATTCGTTACGAGATTTTTTTTTTTTTGATATATTATGTGTCTGATGGTCGAGGTAGAAAATAAAATCATGTTTGGAGAATATCGTATCTGGTGATGTTCATTCACAAAAAAATGTTAATAATTTGAGATAATTTAATTTATTTTTATTTATTTTAAAAAAAAACATAATGGATGCTAAAATTTTGTACACGGAAGTGTTCCTTATTCTCAATGGTTATATTCTCCGTTGACTAAAACCAAAATTTGTGATTATTCATCTCAAAACAAGCCGGCATCAAGTAGGCAGGCTTTCAACATTTTTCACATTTTTCTGGTTGAGCTATAACTAATGTCACACATTCTACATCCGAAGCTGGAAGAGTAATCCCAAAAAAAATATCTAACGGTGGTTTAATCAACTTAAACTATAGTAGAGAACTCTACTTATGCGCATATATATATATATGGGAAAATCTAGAGTCCCGTTGGCCATTTTTACGGAACCGTCCCGTTTTGTCTTCAACCAATCAAAATTGAGGGTAAAAGATGTAACCATGTGGTGAATAACATTCTATAATATCATAAACTAATTGAAAAAATGATCACTTTTGCCCAAAACATCAAGTTTCTGTCTAATTTGACCCAAAATATTTTTGGGAAACAAAATTCATCATCTAAATTTTAATTTATTGCCATTAATCCAAATTGATGGGAATTCTGTTAGATTTAATATTTCCACTGACATTCCGTTACTTTGTATAATTTTTTATTGGTAAAAAACTTTGTTGACCCAAAATTTTAATATTTTATCGCTAATGTTTTGTTATTCAGTAACATACGCTTGCCTTACCATTTAATTATTATAACGTCCACACCACATAATTTATCTCCTAATCTAATTCATTGCTTCCACCCTAAGCCTCTTCTTTTTCTTCCTCTTTTACTTATTTTTCGTTGTCGCACCAACACCGCCCCTTTCCTCTTCTCTCCTAAAAATTACCATTACCACTTCCTAAATATGTGAGGATTTCAAACCATCACCACAAACATAAAAATTTGCCTCCACCAACAGTATACAATCCTCATTCCATCAATACCCGCATTTTTGTCGCCGCCACTTTTCTTCAATTCCACAAAAATTACAAAATGGTTTATTTATTTTTCTTGTTTTTTTCCCCTTCTTCTTTCGAAAAAATTGTACAAAGTAACGGAAAAGGAAAAAAATAGTGGTTACACCATTTTGATCCCGTCGTCAATTTTACCCTATTAATTTTTGATTAGTCAATTTTGTTCTTTATGTCTGAAATTTTTGTCAATTCCATCCAATTGGTCAAACTTCCGTTAAACTTAACGGATCTCCGTTAGTTTTTAACAAAAATACCACAATAGTTTTGAAATATTATAAAGATAACTCATAAAATATTTTTTGAGTTCTCCGGAACCTGAACGTCATTTTCATCCTTTTTTCTTGCTTAACAAAAAAAATATAAAAATAACAAAATTTCCCCTTTTCACTTGTATTCATTTTAATCTATTTCATTTTATTTCAATTTACTACTTTTCATAACCATCAAAATATACTATATGATCTTTAAAAAATAATTATTTATTTTCAACAATATTTTTCATGTGCAACATACTTGAGTTGGGTTTAGAGGTAATTTTGTCTTTTTATATTTATTAAAAACTTTTAATTTATTTTATTTTATTTTTTTAACAATTTTGGCACTAGTATAATTACTATATTTCAAGAAAAAAATTTACCTTTTGTATTTCAATTTCGAGGTTTAAAAAATAATTAAAAATATGTTGTTAAAAAATATAGGTATTTATCTTTGTCATGAAATTCAATGATTTCTTATATAGTTTAGGCATCGATAAAGTAACAATAATAATTACTAAAAAAGAATAAAAATTGTGTTAACCAAAGTTAAAACAATTCATCGTTGTGAACTAAATAAATTAGCACTTTTTCCTATTTCAAATAATTATCTAATTTTATATTATTTTTACTATCACAAACAAAATAATCATTTTAGGCTAGATCGAGTAAAATTTATATTTCTTAACTTGCCTATGAATTACAAGAAGTCAAGGAGGAAAGACTTGTCTTAGAAGTTTTTTTTTTTTTTAGATTTTTTTTGTTTAGAATGATAACCTATTAATTTTTGTATTTATTTCAACTCGATTTTTTCTTCCTCATTTTCTTTATTTTTTAATTTTTTTTTAATCTATGAAATAAAAGGTAAATTAATTAATGAAATTTAATAATTATACTAGTGGCAACAGATACAAGTCAGGAAATATAAGAAAAAGAATAGCAAATAACAAAAAATAAAAAAATTAATTAAAAATTTTAAAAATATGACAAAATTACGTCTGAACCAAACTCACATGTTTGCACATGGAAAATAGAGTTTGAAAATAAATACTTATCATTTTAAAGATCTTATAATATATTTTGATGGTTATAAAAAGTAGTAAATAGAAATAAAATAAAATAGAAATAAATAAATAAATAAATAATAAAAAGAGATTATTTTGTTGATTTTACGTATTTTTGGGTTATTTTTATAATTTTTTGATACTATTGAGATATATTTTTCTTAAAAATTAACTGAAATCCCTTAAGTTTAAAGGAAACTGGGCCAATTGGATGAAATTGGTAAAAATTTCAACCGTAAAGGACAAAATTGGCTAACTAAAAATCAATGGGGTAAAATTAACGACGCGGTTAAAACTTTGGGTACAACCGTCATTTTATCCGTAACGGAATGCCAACGGAGGTGTTAAATTTAACGGAATTTTTGTCAATTGGATGAAATTGGCTAGAAATTGAAACTTAGATGATGGATTTGGCTTCTCAAAAATTTTTTTGGGTCAAATTGGCTAGACACTTGAAGCTTTGGGTAAAATTGATCAATTTCTCTAATTTTTTCAGTTTAATCAGGTATGTTTGGATATATTTACCTATGATGTACCCTCATTTTAATCCTACGATTGTTAATTAGCCTAATTAATCCTACAGTTATTATCTTAAAACGGAACCGTCTCGTAACGGGACTCTAGCCGCTCTCTCTCTATATAGTTGACTTCATGTTCACTTTAAACTGGTTTAATTACCAATAGTTGAAAACCTTTGTAGTGGTAAATTGTCCCCAAAAAAAAAAAAAAAAGAAATTGGTATACAATTGTCAATTATTTTGATGCATGCCCGCACGCCTCTAAGCCAAACACCAATGGCCAACTACTCTACTCTACCAGTCCAGACAGGATTCATTGTTTGAAGTCATGACAGAGAAATCGGCATCAATAATGGCATAAACTAATGCTGATATTAATAATGATGATTAATTATTGATTACATATTCTCCAGCAGAATCTGTCTGAATACTAAACAAACACTGTTTCCATTAACTACTTTTAGCAACCAAAAAAAAAAAGAAAGAAGAAAAAAGTCAGACACCGTTCATTAAAAGAAGCAAATAAGAAGCACAAGGACGATCTGGGGAAGAACTGAACTCCTCCGACCAAAAAAACTTTGCACAATCTAGGGCAGAACTGAACTCCGATCGAGCTTTACTTTTTAGTATACCAACTTTCAATAAAGGAGTGATAACCCTAAGCTATACTCGAGCACTTATGAGTCTAGTTGTCTAAATACACTATTTCCTGTCCCAAAAATAGTTCACTACACTAAATTTTCAAATTTACAATGAAAATGGTTCATATCGATTTTTTAAATTTTATATTGTTTTTAGTACAAATATAAAAATTTTATTTGGACTATTTTTCACAACAGAGATAGTATAATTTTTTAATTTTTTTTTTGTAGAATTTAATCTTGTAGGTTGTTTAAATAAATTAATATGTTGGAGGAGAAAGAAAAGAGTGATCCAAATGTTGCCACCTAAACATAAGATAACATTATGTCAAGAGTTTATACAACTTTAAAAAAAATAATATAATATACTTCTCTCTCCAAAATACTCATTTTGGTCTTAATATAATATACAATTTTGAACTAATCATAACAGTGTAACTACGAGCTTTAGACATTGGTAAATAGGGTCGAAAAATAATGGTAGTTTACATTTATATAACTATTTCCGTGATAATTAAATAAATAAAAACTAATTCCGTGTTAAAGTTGGGATTGGAACGGGTCAAACTGTTGAGCACTTTTATTTTTTTATTTGAGCGCTCTCCGAAAGACAGATACGTCCTCTGCACAATAAGGGTATGTTTTTTTTTTTCGAAAAAAAAAGGGGCAGCAAGGACATATGTGCCAGCCAACGGCTGGCGCAGGAGGAACACGTCATCCCTACGCGAAGTGGCGTGGAATAATCTCATCTCCCTTTAGAGGGAGGCGAGAAGGCGCCACCTTTATCCAGGCTCGCCAACCAACCGATGGGTGGTGCCCGTTCTATTTATTTATTTTATTTTTTAATGTATTTAATTAATATCATTTATTTATTTAAATTATTAGTTTAATAAATTTATTTAATTCATGTATTTATTTAATTAATTAATTTATTTTATTTGAGTATTTGTTTGGTAGTTTGATATTTGTTTAGAAAATTTATATTAATTGGTAGTTAAATGTATAATCTATCTTAATATTTAGGATTTAT